ATAAAATATAATTTAGAAAATAATTTGATTTTGGAGTCACCACCAACCTTTAAGTTATGTAGGTCGGAAACCAAAAAAATGATATGCGTTTTACCAAAAAATCATTTTTAAAAGTTCGGGAATCAATTACGTGTGGGGAAAGGTGAGCACCCCAGTAAGCCCAAATTTTGGTACCTAAACGATTATATGTTGTTTAAAGATTGAGAATTACAAACTTGAAAACATATTTAAATTATGATCCTTCTATTTATTCAAATTTATTTAAAAAGTGTAATTTCAAAAACAACTAAAATAATAAATGAAGCAAGTCAAAAGATTAAAAAGACCAAAACATATTTTTATAGAATTTTATTATTAAAAAATTATAATTATTTTTATAAGAGAAAATACACCATTTTATACGAACAATCCTTGAAAATGCACTTCTTTTATAGTTAGGGGACTTTTTCATGGATTCACCTCACAAAATAATGTTTCTTTAATTTCATAGTTTTAAATTTTATATATAATATTATATCAAATTATAGAAATATTCGGATAAAGAATGCCTTTTTGTGTGAACAATCCTCGGGAATGCATTTCCTTTGTAGTTAGGAGACTTTTCCATGGATTCCCCTCACAAAAAGACATTATATCACATTTTTCACAAAATTATAAACTAAACTAAAACAAAATGAAAATGAAAATGAAAAGGGGTGTAAATAATCAAAATAAATAAACGTAAAGGTAAAAAAACTATTAAATAAAAATATTTGTGCGAAAAATCCTCGAAAAGATACCTTCCCTTGTAGTTGGGAGATGTCTTCACAGATTTCCCTCACAAAATTTTTCCTATTTTTGTATATTAAAAACAATGGTGATTAAAAAACAAGGTGGAATTAATAATATTAATGTGCACATAAATAAGTGACCAAAATAGCACTAATAATAACTTGACAGGCTAAACAATAATTACCAATAAACCAGAGCCAATATCACATAAATTAAATAATATAGGTGCTAGAAACTAAAATACCCATAAATAACATTTAGGACTGAAATGAAACACACCAGAAACATAAAAGGGCAAATAATAATTATACCTAAATGTATTTATATTAAATGGTGACTAAAACAAAAGAATTAAAAAACACATGGCCAAATTTGAATTAACAAACATTGCATAATAAATATACTAGTGACTTAAATGTAAATGTAAGAAATTAAATGCTTGAAAAATAATAATACAAAACTATGATTAATGGCCAATATAGAGTGATATAAACATCCAGGAGCCTAAAATGCTATTAGCCCATGCGCGAAAATATGTTGAAACCCCCTCCCCCGACGTCGTTTTAGCCCCTACATATATATATCAAAAACACGGCCAAAATGGCCCAACACTCTCATTTGATATGCTTCTCTTAAGCCCAAAGAGAGAGGGAAAAAATTATTCTCTCAACTCTCCTCCCTTTTCTCAATCCTCCGCCGCGAGGAAACCCATAAATAACCACGCCCATCGTGAGGCGACGACGATGGCCTTGAAAACAGACTCGAAACCATCCTTGACCTCACCTCTCTCATTCATTTTCTGAAAACCAACCCCTACCCAAAAACATGAATCACCCTAAAACCCACAAACCTAAGAACGAGAGGGTTTTACCTTCGGTGGCAAACTCTCCTTACTCTGGTGGGCCTTCGATTTGATGAAGGGTAAAATTTCTGGTTTCTTTCTTTTATATGGTTTTTTTGTTCGATCTCTTTTTTTCTTCTCTGGATTTTTCTCACCGAATGCTATTATCTTGAAAATGGTTGCCTTTGGTTTCTTTATTCTTCGTTTAGGTGAGATGGTGATTACCTCTAGGATAGGGAACCATCATATTTTGACTGGGTTGTTAGAAAATCCCAATTTTCGAGATTTAATACCATTTAAAAATGGGTTTTATTTTTTTACTGATTTTTCTGATTTGGTGTTTGATTTGGGTACTGTTCGGAGTACGTTGAAGACGATGACGGCGGTTCACGCGGCTAAGGAGGCTAATGATGGGGTGCACACGCGTCTAGGAGTTGAAACGATGGGCGTGTGCACCACACGTGCCGACGATGGACGGTACACCTTCTGGTCGGTGGCAGCTGGTGATACTTTTAGGGTTTAAAACCCTAAAATAGGATGATCTAGGTCGTTGATCTTTCTCCAGATCTGACGACTAGTGTTGGAGGCGGCTGGGAGATAGGATGAAACCCTAGCTGTGTTGGGTCAGTTGTTTGGGCCTGGTACTGGGTCGGGTTAACCTGAACTTGAGATTATGGGTCATCTGGGTTGGCTTGTAATGTAATATGGGTTCTGTTGTAGTGAGCTTGGGAATTGGGCCTGCAACATATGTAATATGTAAATTAAATAAAAAATAATAATAATAATAATATAATTAATAATAATTTTTAAATCCGGACAAAAACATGTGTCTACAGTACAAAAGATTCTAAATGAAAGCATCCACTTGACAAAAAATAAATAAATCTATAAATTTAGCGTTCAAACTTTTGATGAGGCATGCATTAGTGAAGTCAATTAATTAACATCTTTTGCAATAATTTATGTGGTGACCAATCTCATTAAACTACTGCCATGTTCTTCTAGAATATGGCCAACTGTTCACCAACATTTTAATAAACGATCCTATATATCAACCCTAGCTAGCCACCTCTAAGCTACGTACATAGCTATATATATATATATATTAGGGTCATAACTTTCACAAATATTGATTCTTACTGGTTGCTAAAATCATTTATCAACCCTCGTGGTTATAGATTTATGTTAAGGGAGTTTAAATGATGGTTTTATTAACCACTAATGACTAGTGTTATGAAGGAAGAGGCGAGATGCTTATCTCTCTCTAGTGCCACCCCTTATTGTAGTGGAAAACCCATTTAATAAGGGTATAGGTAATAAACTTTACTATTTTTATTATTTTATCTTATCTCATCTAATACAAAATAATTAAATTCGATTATTTTTTATCTAAAATCATGTGAGGTTCATTAATTACAAAAGTTTTGATTAAGTTTTGAGTTAAATTAGATTGAACTCTATTTCAAAAAACCAATTTCAACTCTTACTATTTTTTCATTTATATTACTCAATTTTGAAATCTTGTTCAAGGAACAATAAGATCCTCGGGATCCTCGTCACTTAACTGAGGAATAAATAGATAGATACGATTAGTAATGATACAGAGACTCTCGATCTGAATATATAATACATAACTATTTCTATTAATTTCTTATTGAAAGTATGAGTTCATATTGAAGAATGCTCTGTCTACATTTTATTTATTTAATTATATTTCATATTTTTATCAATTTAAAATTAAATAAATCAAATCATAATTATCGTTATTCTATTCAAATAAGGTTCAAATCTTTATTAATATTGAAGTTAAACACTTTAGCCTCGGGAGTCATTCTAGTTTCGTCTTTGCATAAGGTTGAACAAATCAATGGCAATGCAACAGTGCAGAGTGCAGAATATCTCTTGAAACATGTTAACATCGTATAAACAAAATATTATTGGTAACAAGAAAAACACAGGCTATATGCCTATAGCCATATGGCCTGTGATAGGAGAAAATGGAGTTGGAGATAATGAGTAGAATATAGAGTAGATGTTGCAGGTATACCCTAACAGCTACATATATATAGACGAGGATAATCAAAAGAAAAAGAATTGCCGACGAAACTGAAATATTAGTGTTAAAAAAGGTGGGAAAGAATGGCGAAAAACGAGGCAACTCAACTGAGCTGGAAACCCTGGGTGGGAAACCATTAGGGTTAGTATTGGAGATCGGGAAATATCCTTCTTTTTGTCTGCTAAAAGTCCCGCTTGATTTCTTAAAGGGAGACACGACAAGGACAGCAATTACCATTAATTAATTGTTTTTAATTTTCTAAATTCTCTCGGGCTTTGTGTTTGAAGGCTATATAGGTACAGTCTTTTAATAAAATCACGTAGGGTTGACCTGGACAACATGCACAACGTGATTCACAGTGTTGATCCGTCTCCGACCCTTCGGGGTTTATTTTGGTCAAATTGTAATATTATCTGCTTTCAAAATCGGGTTTTGGGTTAAGTTTTTAACATGTTCGAGGATCGGATCCAGATTTTGATAGAACATGCATAACATGATATATCTGGCAAAAGCTTTGAATTGTGCCTATATTTGAAATAAAATTGTATTTTAAAAATACATTTTTATGAATTAGATATTATAAAAATTCTATATTAAACAAAAAGATATTGTAGAAAAGAGGATAGACTGTATTTGAAGATTAAGATGACTCGTAAATTTAAAATGCAAGAATTAAGAGCTAGCACACATGTTATAAGGATGATTGTGTGGTCTAAGTCGAAACATGGATGAATGATGAGACAAGAAATACGAGGAAGGGGTTAGCTTCTCCAAGGACAATTCTTCTTGACTCTAATAGTAATTAATTGTTTAGATATGAATGCATGATCGTGTATTGTTCAGGCAGAATTGTGGGATATTTTTTATGGACCGAATAAAGCTAGAGATATGTAGTTTCGTAAGATATATAATTTTGGAGCTTGATAATCTTGTTGTAGTTCGTGCACTTAAAAGGCACAATTTTAAACCAAATTCATTTGAGAGTCCTACGTCTGTTAAAATCATGAATTATCCCTGTACAACATATTTACCAGGAAGGGAATGCGATTGTTGATTGATTAACAGTGTTAAATGTTATTTTTTTTTTGATGAAAACATTAATTTTCAAAATTCTCAACCGATAATTTTTATGTAACTTGTGATAATATAAAGGGATTAGAATCTTCACTTATAAAGATGTAATTCTATTGTGTATATTCTATTTTAAGAAATATACATATATAATTAATAAGTTCAATTAAAATTATTTATACAATTTCATATGTTACATTTTACAAGAAATTACACAAAAACTTTCACGTTTAAACAAAGTGAGGCTTTCCCCCAAAAAAATATAAATGAAAAATAATAAAACTGAAATACAAATTTCTGTATCAAATTTAATCGCCAGTTACTAATTCTATTTTCTTCAACAAATATTAACCAAAGAAAACTTTACATGTAGACTTATTTTTCCTTTCTCCAATTGCAGCCTAGCACCCGTAACCAACCAATACCCCGGACTATCTTGAGGTCCCTTGCACAACTGCGAAGTTTCCACAAACTTCAACAGCTTTGGTGTTTGAACAGGCACCGGCGGTCCGGTCGGGTACACGGCGGAATCCACCACAACAGCCGCCACCTCCTTTTCTTTAACGGGGTTTCCCGTTAAGGACTGACTGATAGCTGAAAGCAAACCAGACGACCTCTGTGAATACCCAGAGGCAGCATGTGCCCATCTTGATTGAACTACGAAACAATCAGAGACCTTAGAAAACAACAGTCTAAGATGAAGAACACTCTTGGAATCGTGCTTTTTAACTTGAAGTTGAGCGCCGGTGACGATGAAGGCAGCATCTTTGCCGTCGGTGCTCCATTGTGGGTTATATTTGATCGGAGCCGTGCATACGTGAGAGAACTTTTTGCGGTGGATGGCTTCGAAGAATCGAATGTTGTTGGATGTATCTTCAGATGCTTGCCAGTATTGTGTGTTGTCCTCCATGTGTTCAAACGATTTCGGTTGAGTCGATAGGTGTTGAAGATGAATAGCCAGCCTGGGATTAAGTTGAAAGTTTTAAAGAAAAACCCAGAATTTTACTAGAAAAAATGAAGTTATTTAATCACTCACCAAAGTAAGTTTCATAAATAGATATACCTATTGCATTTCATGCCTTCAAGAAATAAGCGCATTCCAGTGACTGGTCTCATCCCTACTGTGACCTGATATATCATATGAGCTAACACTTTGTTAGCACTATTATCTAGGGTTTGAAACATGAAAAAAATTTAGATTGAGATTTGTTAGCACACTGGCATATTTGGCATTAATCATCAGCACCAATTAGTGGACTTTGTGAAGTAAGAAAGGTAGAGATTTGATGTACCTGAGAAGTATTTACATAAAGCTTAGGACCCATTAAGTTGAAGTGAAGAGCTGGTGAAGAAGAAGCCCTATTTGTTGAAGGACCTAAAGGGAGGTCATTGTGAATGGGAGCCCAAATCTTTTGTCCTTGGAAGTCAAGAAAGTACGGCAGATCGGCTATAGGAGGCTTGTCTGCAATTATATTAGTTTTGGGTTATATATAGCCATGTTTATGAGTGTTTTCATATGCTTAGATATATATTGCATATTAAAACTTACATCGAAGGTATAAATTGATGGCATGTGACAGGAAACCTTTGCCTGGAACATTTTTAGGAGAGAAGTGATTGGAATGAAGCTAAAATGAATGGCATCTGGCTTTCCTGCAACTGTTGGAAGCCACTCACAATGGCTGTTAGCTTCTGGATCCCCTCCTTTCTTTGAACATATAACAGTGATTCCCTGCAAAAATCCAAAACCTTTAATTCGAAACCTTACTGTAATGCCTTTTTGTAGCATTTAGCAAACCTAATATTAGTATTCAAGCACTCTAATAGCCTACATGATTCTCTACCCTTCATTTCCGGAACAAGTGAAAAGTTTGAGGGGAAAAAAAACCTAAACATGCATGTATCAAACATATACTCTGACACATATTCGATGATAATAACAGGAAAAAAAATTCAAAATAGAAATTCCAAAGAGACCTACATTTTTGGCATTGATGAAGAGGTAGCCATTGAAAGTAACAGGTTGTTGATCAAAGATGCTGAATGCTTCTGGTACCTGAATACAGAGCATAAATAGAAAGGGAACAAACACAGAGAATTGAGAAACCTTTATGTAATTATTATAACATTTATCTAAAGGAATGAATGTATATATATGATAACCTTTTGCTTTTGATCTTTGGTTTTTGGGGTAAAACTGCAGTAGCCTGTAAAGACTTGGTCACCAAGATCGTAGAGATGTTTTTGAGCAATGAGGATTCCAGATTGGAAGATTTGTCTTGCCTGACCAAAATCACATCGTGGCCACCAATGCTTAACCCCAAAATGACGTGAGTCCCGTATTTCTCAATGAATCTGCCAAAAAGTTTACCAGTTTTTGGATTTACATGCATGAGCATTGATCAAGTAATATATTATTGGTCATAGTCTTTCTATACCAACTACCTCCACCAAGAAAACTACTATTATTCAATGCAAGAAACGGTCGAAACATGAAAAATATTGCTGGAAAATTTACTAACGTTATTTAAACCAAATTTTAATAAGTTTAATCAATTTCTTTGACGGTTTCATGATTGAGTTTTTTAATTAATAAAAATATCTGTTGACATTTCTGCCCTTTTGCTAACCTAAATTAAATGGTCTAACTTTCAATTGTGAGCCAAATGCTATCCAATGTATAATTGCAAAGAAAGAAAGGTACTTAACCAGACATCTATGAATTCTTTAGCTTTATCAATGGAAAATGATTAATTTATTTTTGTAATTTGAAATGGCAGAAGATTTTGACATTTTTTCATATTTGTATATGAACGGTTTAATATGATGGGACTTGAATACTGCTGGTTTTGCTGACCATACACAAAAAGCCAACTGTTTTTCTTGCCAGACAAGAAGCTAAAATGCCATCTTTTAACACAAATTCCAATTTGACCGTACAAATAATGGAAATGAACATGAAAGAAAAGGTCAAAAAGACAATAAATCGAAAGAAAAAAAAAAAGAAGAAGCAACACTTCTACTATTTTTTGGGTTGATTGCATATCTCTAAATTATGACTTTCATATTAAATTGATTCTTAATTTTTTGAATATTTTAATTTTATCTTCAAATTATGACTCTCATTCTAAATTGGTCTCCAAATTTTTGAATATTTTGGTGATGCTATTAGAAAGTTCATAAATTTGGGGATGAAATTGAAACATTCAAAAGTTTGTGGACCAATATAAAATGATGATCATAATTTGGGGATGAATTTTGAACGCTTAAAAGTTTAATGACTAATTAAATTGTGAGTCATAGTTTGGGGATGTGTAGCAAATTAACTCTTTATTATGATTGATGTTAACCAATGGAATTCGAGATTAGTGTTAACAAAAAAATTTAATAAGAATTTTTAGGTTAAAGTACACAAAAGGTCATTGAACTATGTTGAAATGATCATTTTAGTCATTACACTTTCAAAAGTTACAAAATGGTCTTTAAATTTATCAAAGTGATACAGAATGATCACTACAATATTATAAAGCCTTTAAAAAGTTAGATAAATTTAATGATAATTTTTAACAGTTCGATGGAATGTACCGATCATTTTGTAATAGTTTGGTAAAATTTAATGATTATTTTACAAGTTCAATAAATTTAATGATCATTATATAACTTCTAAAATTCAATTACCAAAACAATTACATAATCATTATTCAGTGACCTCTAATATAGTAAAATCCTTTTTATTACTCCACTATTCAGTCGACAAAATAAACAGTAATTTGACTACAAATTAACCAATGAGTGACACAGTCAAGAGAATTTTGTTTTAAAATATTTTAATGAAAGAGGAATAAGTACGTACCTTGCTAGGGCATAAGGATCCCAAGTAGAAGGAACATCGTTGAGAACTTCATCAGATAGGAGGAGAGGAGAACGATGAATATGAAGATTGAACAACGTGATATAATATCCATCAAGTCCCAAGCATTTGGTATTCGCCGCATCTTTCGCCCATGAACCGCTTTGAAAACCAAACATCGAATTGAATCGCCCCGACGGAATTTTCCCAGTGATGTTACATTTCTGGTTGAAAATCTCCACCATCTTACATACACACACCCCAATCATATGAATTTTATCGATTTTTGTTCATAAATCAAGATAAAATGGAAATGGGATATTGTTACCTGATTGAAATCGAGAATATCGGATTGGTAACGAGTACGATCGCCTTTATCGCATTTGATATCGATCGGGACGTCTTTGATTGAATCGAATCCGGGTATGGACATCTCTCGTTTCTCGGTTTCATCTAGTAAAATCAACCGTTCCTTTCCCTTGCAGTACTTGAGTCGGAAATTCATTGTTAAATCGAATCCTTTCCCCAAGCTGCTAAGAGCCTTCTCCACTATTCCATGGCTGTTCATCTCGCTTCGTTTCCCACTCTATTTTCTTTCTGAGAAATTTGAAAGGAAAGAAATTTTGGGTTATTTAATAGGATTGCTTAGTAATACTGGGTATAAATTTTTGGGTGAGAAAGGTTTGAAAATCGTATGATTCTAATTGGTGACTAAACGAAGTTTCGTCTTCTTTCTTACGTTTCAATTTCTGGTTTCTGAGCTCAACTTTGACCATATTTTATTATTATTTATTATTATTCTTTTACTTCTCCTTTTCGTAATCTGTTTTTGGATTTTCTTCCTTAAACAATATTGATGTTTTAATATATTATTACCTTTTCACACTAATTACATTTAATATAAAACAATTCTAAAGTATTTGTTATTTTTTTAACCAATAATAACAGTTAATTTTATTAATTAAATAAAAGCTAGCCTAAACTGTAGCTAAAAGATAATTTTAAGTGCTAAAAGAATTTTTTGTTAAAAATATGTGTCTAACGTTTCTATGTTATATTTTTAGTTGTATGCCATTAAATTCGGCCGTTAAGTGACACGTACAAGTTTATAAAAATTTAAAAATTCTATTTAAATTTTTTGAAATTTTATATACCTAATATATGTCACTTAACGGTCGAATTTAACGGTGTTAACGATCTAGGCACCTAAAAGTGCAACATTAGAAATGTAGACACCTCTTTTTAACAAAAAAAATCTTTAGACACCTAAAGTTAACTTTAGATATAGTTTGGGCACTAATTTTCATATTAAGTCTTAAATAAAAATAGAGTAAAGTACATCAACGGTCCCCGACTATAGGATAATACTTTATTGAGTCATTTGTCTATTAAAAGTTATAAAATGATCCTCCGACTATAAGGTGTTACTTTGTTGAGTCCCTCGACTATTAAAAGTTACAAATGATCACTCAACTATTCATTATGTTCCAAACTCGTCCTTTTCTGTTAAAAAACAATGATTGTCTAAGTTGTATATTAACCTATTGACTGAGACATGATAGTCGTTTGAGATTATGAGATAATATTTTATCACATCTCAATCATTAGGTTAACGTCCAACTCAGATAATCGTTAATTTTTTTATGGAAAAGGACGAGTTTGAAACATATGAATAGTGAGATGACCATTTTATAACTTTTAATAATTGAGGGACTCAACAAAGTAACACCTTATATATAGTCAGTCTCAGAGGTTCATTTTATAACTTTTAATTGTTGATGAACTCAACAAGATAACGCTCTATAATCAGGGAATCATTTGTGTACTCTTCCCATAAAGATATAATATAATAAAAATTAAAATAGAATAAACTATTTACTTTAAAACTATCAAAGAGCACAAATTAATAAATAATTAAAATAATACCATATAAAGTAGTTAAAAAAATAAGTAAACAGTTCATAAAAAATAATAGAGACAATAAACGAAGGATAAATATCATCCATATGAGCGAACTAATTAAAATGTCCAAACTAAAGATAGTTCAATAAGATAATTAAATAAATACCAATTAAATAACTATGTCAGATTCAATCTGAAAAAAAAAAAACAAAGATGTATTATAAGAACATACAAAGAATGTCGTACAATAATATATAAAAAAGTAATTATTTTTTGCGAAAAGGTGGACTAAATAAACAAAAAAATATATAAATCAAATATGAATAAAAACACAAAAAATATATATGGTAAAATCTAGGGAAAGAACGAATGAAAAATGATAAGAGCAAAGTTAAGATCAAATATTAAAAGGGTAAATTATCTTAACTCAAAATAATATATTTATTAAGTATTTAATTTTAAATTATGGAGGATAAAATTTTAATTTGATTTTAATTTAAATTGATAAAGACATAAGATATCATTAAAGTACGGAATTTAAATTATATGAAAAATTAATAATCACAATATATTTAAGTTTAAATTAAAATAATTTTAAAAAATTAAATTAAAATAAATACTAAATGAGAACACATATAACAGTCGTGCCTATTACAACCCAAACCTAATATTCAAGACAAACGAAAAAAATACAAATTTTTACATTTATTATTTTAAAAAGTATTTATTCATTTTAATCATATCCAAAGTATTTAACAAATGTTTATATAAAAAAATGTATTTCAAATGTAAAATTTTTAGTATACCTACCGTATCAATCTTTTAAAATCTTGTGATTAATTTTAAAATAATATTAAATGTTAATTTATTAATTTAAATCTCATTTATTCTTTATATCACTAGAGTGAATGAATTAGAATGTGCACGCCTTGTATAAATTATATAAATTCACACTACCTAACCAATCCTCGAGTATGAAAACTATATTTATTAGATTTTAAAATACCAACTTCGTATATATATATTATAAATATTTTTATTGAAATTAATAAATCTTTGATTGGAAATTAATATAATATATAAAATATTTTGTGATGTTCACATTGGAACTGTTTGATGTGACTTTTCAGACACGTTCTGAACGGTGAATTTCAACGACTCAGTTGCCGACGTCCTTTATGAAAACCCCTCCACATGCATGGGAAGAACAATCAATGGCGGCTCCACATGTAATAATTCCAACAAAAACACGTTTACGCTACGCACTAAATATTGTCAAACCGATGGGAAATAGACTTCAGTTCAGAACTACAATAACGTTAGGGAACAACGGCAAAAAAATAGCGGCGACAGCTTAACGGAGCTTTCTCTGGAATCAACAATGGTGTTCGATATCCTAAACGCACAAAAAAACACTAAGATCGGCTCAGTAGGACGTGGTGCACATTCATTTGCATTTGCTAAGCCAACGGCGAAAGCAGCATTTGATCGGAAACGGAAGCCAGACCTTGCATCAACCTAACAATTTCAACTGTGTCATCGAGGTAGTACTTCGCCTTGCTGGGTTTTTTATCGACGGTACATGCAAAAACTTCGGCTCTGGGATCGATCGTTGGGCTTGCTATCGAACTGGTTATTACCTCAAACATGTCTTCATCGGATCGGTCATCTCCGATGCACAAAACAAAATCCGGTACCATTCCCTTCTCTTGCATGGTTGAAAGTAGGCGCTTAGCTACCAAACCCTTGCTTACACCCTGCATATAGAGATTGCAAAGAATACAAAAACCGACATCATCGACACGGGATGTTGAATTCGAAACCGGCTTACATGTCTCGATTTAGGATAAGAATATAAAACAGTATTGTACACTTTCATTAGGGAGAAATGATCGAACCTGCGGTTTAACCTCCACAGCATTCTGTCCGCTCTTTACTGTAACAGGTTCATTGGCCAGCACACTTTCGAGATGATTGAGAATTTCTTTAACTTGGCATGATCCGAAATCTGAATCTGCATCCTCGTAACACCAGACAAGGGCGGTTTCCCGATCTTCAATGTTTGACCCGTCCGTAGTCTCCGTGTATTGCTGCATCACAGGTTCTGCAATCTGCTTCCAAGTAGAGTCTATGGCTGGCACACGTCTTCCACTCAGCATCACGCTTAACCCTGAAACAATGAACTTTAACTCTCAAATGGAAACCACAAACTTACGTCAAGGATAAAAGGAGAAATAAGGATAGACGGCGGTCTACTTCACCTAAAAAAGTACCCATGCTCGGCGGCAATTCCTAGTTTCTCACACGCAGAAAACCATTGGGTGAGCGTCTTTCGGCTTCTGGCACTGACGATAAAAACCACGTTGTTTGTATCTCTGCATAAGCTATTTAGGATGTCAATGGATTTAGATGATGGACTCTTGTCGATAGAAGGCTGTGGCATTAAAGTGCCATCATAATCGAGAATGATGGCCCGAGTAGTAGTCCTCTTGTAAGCCGATACTATGTGCTCCGTGGAGAGCTTTTTGAAGTTTGGATCAAGTGCCACAACTCTAAAACTTAGCCCAAAACCAATACCCCAACATCCCCGTCTCGCATGTTCTCGACATGTCCACTCGAGATCTTGAACGAAACTACGAGCCCAGTATCCAACATGATGTGTACTCACATATCTGTAATGCTTTTCATATCTCCCCTGTTTTTCGGCCTCTGCCATAGCAAGGGCACCGTCCATTGCATCCGCCACGGAACCAATGTTCCACGGATTTACTCGAATTGCTCCACTAAGTGATGGGGAGCAGCCAATGAACTCAGACACAACTAACATGCTTTTCTTTGGTGTAGAAGGATCCAACCCTAGAACCATATCCAACCTTTCATTACCCTGCCGACTGATTATATATTCATACGGTATGAGATTCATTCCATCCCTTACCGCCGTTACCAAACAACACTCTGCAACGGTATAATAGGCAATCCTCTCGTAGAACTTAAGAGGTTCATCAATCAATACGACTGGATCATAACCAGGCTTCCCGAAAGTTTTGTTAATTCTCTTCACAGTTGAATATGTCTCCTCTTGCACTTCTTTCACGTCTTTTCCTCGGCCTCTTGCCGGAAGAGCTATTTGAACCAACACCACCTTCCCTTGGCACTCAGGATGCTGCGAAAGAAATTGTTCCATTGCTAGCAGCTTCAAACTAATACCCTTGAAAATGTCCATATCATCCACCCCAAGCAACATTATCCTGCCCTGATCACAATACTGCATACGGAAGCTCTGCAACCTTCGCTTCGGTCTCGGGGAGGCTCAAAACCGACTGCAACTGACCCATGTGTATCCCTACAGGGAGAATTTTGATAGTAACCGTTCTTCCATAATACTCCAGACCTATATACCCTCTCTTGGATTCATAGCTAAGGCCAAGCATTCGACTACAGCACGACAAAAAATGCCTCGCGTAATCGAAAGTATGAAAGCCGATTAAATCCGAGTTTAAAAAGGCACGTAAAAGTTCCTCTCTGATCGGCAATGTTTTATATATCTCGGAGGAAGGGAAGGGGCTGTGAAGAAAGAACCCCAGTTTAACCCTGTTGAACCTCTTCCGCAAGAAAGTTGGTAACAACATGAGGTGATAATCATGAACCCAAACAAAATCATCCTCCGGATTAATCACCTCCATAATCCGATCGGCGAAAATCTTATTGACCGACACATAAGCTTGCCACAAAGACCGGTTAAACCGACCGCCGCGGTCCAGCGACAAAGGCAACATATAATGAAACAAAGGTCATAGTTGCTGCTTACAGAATCCATGATAATAGCGACTATAAATATCAGCCGGCAAAAACGTCGGCACACACTTAAAGGTCTCGAAA